CACTGGTCTAATGTCTATTGCTTGTGTTTCTTGGCCCAAGCAAATCTCTTCTTCTTATTGGTGTACTTTAGTAGTGGTTTCTTTGCAGCAATTCGACCATGCAGGCCTGATTCACACAGTCTCCTCTAAACAGTTGATGTTGAGATGTGTCTGTTACCTGAACTCTGTGAAGCATTTATTTGGCCAGGTCATCTGATGCAGCACTCCATCACTCTCCTTCTTGGTCAAATAGCCCTTACACAGCCTGGAGGTGTGTTGGGTCATTGTCCTGTTGAAAAACAAATGATAGTCCAACTAAGCCCAAACCAGATGGGATGGCGTATAGCTGCAGAATGCTGTGGTAGCCATGCTGGTTAAGTGTGACTTGAATTCTAAATGAATCACAGACAGTGTCACCAGCAAAGCACCCACACACCATAACAACTCATCCTCCATGCTTTACGGTGGGAAATACACATGCGGAGATCATCCGTTCACCCACACCGCGTCTCACAAAGACACGGCGGTTGGAACCAAAAATCTCCAATTTGGACTCCAGACCAAAGGACACATTTCCACTGGTCTAATGTCCATTGCTCGTGTTTCTTGGTCCAAGCAAGTCTCTTCTTATTATTGGTGTCCTGTAGTAGAGGTTTCTTTGCAGCAATTCGACCATGAAGGCCTGATTCACACAGTCTCTTCTGAACAGTTGATGTTGAGATGTGTCTGTTACTTGAACTCTGTGAAGCATTTATTTGGGCTGCAATTTCTGAGGCTGGTAACTCTAATGAACTTATCCTCTGCAGCAGAGGTAACTCTGGGTCTTCCATTCCTGTGGCAGTCCTCATGAGAGCCAGTTTCATCATAGCGCTTATGGTTTTTGCGACCGAACTTGAAGAAACTTTCAAAGTTCTTGACATTTTCCGTATTGACTGACCTTCATGTCTTAAAGTAATGATGGACTGTCATTTCTCTTTGCTTATTTGAGCTGTTCTTGCCATAATATGGACTTGGTCTTTTACCAAATAGGGCTATCTTCTGTATACCACCCCTACCTTGTCACAACACAACTGATTGGCTCAAACGCATTAAGGAGAAAATTAATTCCAAAAAATAACTTTTAGGAAGGCACGCCTGTTAATTGAAATGCATTCCAGGTGACTACCTCATGAAGCTGGTTGAGAGAATGCCAAGAGTGTGCAAAGCTGCCATCAAGGCAAATGGTGGCTACTTTGAAGATTCTCAAATATAAAATATATTTTGATTTGTTTAACACTTTTTTGGTTACTATATGATTTGTTATTTCATAGTTTTGATGTCTTCACTATAATTCTACAATGTAGAAAATAGTTTTTTTTAAATAAGGAAGGAAAACCCTGGAATGAGTAGGTGTGTCCAAACTTTTGACTGGTAGTGTATATGTCTATAAATATGAGAAGTATAACTATTATGGAGAAATGTCTCAATTGCTGTTGTGACCTCAATGTATTCCCTCATGTTTTAGTAATGACAGAATGATGATGGACCAATATGTTTTACTTCCTGGCGTGCACTTCCTGGTCTCCATTCACTGGATAGGCTAACATTCTCCTGGACATTCCACTTCAGTTGATTGGAGGGAAGGTAACTGGAAATATGAACGCTATGGAAAACTACTGTACACTTGGCTGTGGACTCTTTCACCGTGTACTAAGATTCTAGGACCTGAGATTCTAATGATTGTCATCTTTACCTCCTTTGTTTGGGTCAAAGTCAGTTTCGTGTGTGTGTGTGTGTGTGCGCGTCTCCACATTGTCTCCTTTGATTCTTGTCATCAACCATCAGTCTGAGATTTTACTGTTCTTTCAATGTGACCACAGTGCTGTACTTTTGGCTTTAAAGTTGCACACGTGTGTCTGTCATGTCCAAATGCAGCCCTTTGAGAGTGCGTGTGTGTAGGTTTGTATGTGAGCATTAAAAATATATTTATGAATAAAGTACGCTTGTCAAATGGATACAATTGTCATTTTGTCTTTCCATCTTCTGGGTCAACCCCCCCCACCCCCCCACCCCCACCCCCACCCCCCCCCCCCACCCCCCACCCCCACCACACACACAATCAACTCCACTCAGACAGTTCTGGCTACAGTTCTCTCTTTATTTGTTTTCAAATGTAATAGTGTTCACATTTATGACGCAGCAGCTTATATAAAAACAGTTTGATATAGTACACAGGTTTCCTTCCTCAACCTCTGTTGCCTCCGTACAAATAGGAAACATTGTTCTCCACTTAACATACAAAAATATAATTTAAAAAGCACTTAAGACACACATTACAATACATTCACTGTACACGGTATATCGGAATAGTCCCCCTCTCACACACACACACACGACTGTACTCCTCCCATCCCGCTGTGTAATACTGTCAGTCACCCTGTTAAACAGTGTATTTAAACTAACCACGGTGACCTGCATCTCTGCGGGGAGAGGACAGGTCCCGATCTGGCGAATTCTGGTCTCTGTCGAACTCCCTCTCTGATCCCTCGCCAAAATGCTCTGGAGCCAAGGCTTCCGAGTATGGAAAACCCGGCACAGAGACTCCGGAACGCCGGGATGAGTTCTGTATGGCCACACTCAAAAACGCTACCTTTGACTACCCCAACAATGCTACCTTCCTCTTTCACTGACATTTTATTTCTGTCTTGTATCCTGGGCCTGTATTCTGTTCTAGGATCAGGTCCCCCCCTCTTATTCATTATGGTTTCAAAGGCAAATCTGTTTCTAGCTAGGCACTCCTACTCAGACGCCCTGACCTTCAGGTGCACTTTTCCACACCCACGTCAAGGGTTGTTATGGCAACAGTCAAGCATGTGTGTTGAGGTACCATCACAGACTCAGACCATCATCACAGAACAGAACAACAGGTTAGAAATGTTTTAGGGCCTGGAACGGGTCACATCTTGCCAATGGGCACCACTTTTTGACACTACACCACTCCGCTGTACTCTGAAGGCATGGTATCCCAAATGGGTCAGAACATGCTTACATTGACACAATTTGACAGTACACCAGACAGAATCCTGCTTTACAGAAGCAATGGGCAAGGGCCTGGTTATGACACTATCTGCAACCCAAATGGCATTCCCTATACAGCGCGCTACTTTTGACCAAGGGCCTCTAGGGCTCTGATCAAAAGTAGTGCACTATATGGAATGGGGTGTCATTTAGAACACACAGTGACCTGGCACTCTTAACACATAGGACTCCTTTATAATGAGACACAGGGTGTCATTTGAAACAGCCATATATTATAAAACACTATGGAGGGCTGGAACAGAGAAAGCAGAATAATAACACTAGAAGCTGAAAAGCTCAGATACTGCTGAAAGACTTGGCTAAGAAGCAACACACACACTGTACTGGAATGCTGTAGCCTACAATGCAAGGCAATCAAAGTTTGTAGGTGTAACCTCTCGAGATACACACATATTCCCTTTAAGACAAACGCATGCACAAACACTAAAACATACCATCAACAATCACATACATTCACACACATACACACTGGAGGTGCAATGAGACGGTATTCCCTTGACACGTTTGCGCGCCTCTTGGATGAAAACGTATGACAGTCTCTCTCCCCCCACCCTCCTCAGGCACAAGGTATGGTCAATGTTTGGCAGTAGAGAGCTGTTGGCAATGATCATGGAAAAGTAACCAGAAACAACACTTGGCAACTGGAATATAGAATGATGCCTCAACTGGTCTGCTCACCCTGTACAGTCTGGAACAACATTCTGGAATACAGGATGCACAATCCATTCCGGAATCATTAGGGAGTAGTTCTAGAACAGAGGGAATGAAGGAATTCAATACTTTCCTTGTTGCTCTATATGGGCTGAAAGCTAACATTAAATCTGTATGCGTAACTTGTGCATTAAAATCAATAGGGACTGTGAAGAATTGATTTAGGGATGCAGATCTGAAGTTAGGATTCAAGCCATAGTCTCTTTGTTTTTGCTGCTGGGGATATCTAGACCTGAGGTCACCTAGCTGTTTCAAATTATTTGACCTATGACAACAGAACAGGTTGTCTTGGGGTTGAGGAATGAAAAAACACTTATCGATAAAATATAAAAAGAAAATATGTGGAAAATATATTGAATAAAGTATAAAATAAAGCTTGAAAATAAAGTGGAACTATTTTGTATATGCTCATGAATACTTATATTTGTATATATACACATATCTATCTATTGTTTATATATCTATATATAGACTGTATAATCCAACTCATACATTATTCCTCTTTTCTCTTTTGCTTTTCTTTCTTCCTTTTTGTTAGCACCGTATGTCAATACAAAAAGTAACAAATAGTTGGGATAGCATAAGAATGTGCAAATGTACCAACAATAAAAAAAAGTCTATAAAGATGCATATCATTAAAAAATAACAAAAGATAGAGTAACATGTGAAAATCATAGAATGTAATACTAGACATAAAAAAGGCTAACGACAAAACAACTTAAAGCATGCACTAGATCCTTTTGTGTGTGGGAGGAAGGGATAGGGGTTTGGGTTGTCACCCTTAAAGTTGGGCCAGAAGGGATAGGGGTTTGGGTTGTCATCCCTAAGGTTGGGCCAGAAGGGATAGGGGTTTGGGTTGTCATCCCTAAGGTTGGGCCAGAAGGGATAGGGGTTTGGGTTGTCATCCCTAAGGTTGGGCCAGAAGGGATATGGGTTTGGGTTGTCATCCCTAAGGTTGGGCCAGAAGGGATATGGGTTTGGGTTGTCACCCTTAAAGTTGGGCCAGAAGGGATAGGGGTTTGGGTTGTCATCCCTAAGGTTGGGCCAGAAGGGATAGGGGTTTGGGTTGTCATCCCTAAGGTTGGGCCAGAAGGGATAGGGGTTTGGGTTGTCATCCCTAAGGTTGGCCCAGAAGGGATAGGGCTTTGTTTTGGGTGGTTGGTCAAGGTGGGGTGGATATTGACGATTGAAAAAGTTTGGGGTGGTTGGGTTGGGAGTGCTGGTGAGGAATCGGGGGGGAATCTCTAGCCCTGCATCTTGCGGATGATGTCGGCGGAGACGGGCGGGTGGAAGTTGATGGTGTGGTGTCTCAGGCCCTGGGACGTCTTGTAGCTCTTCCCACAGCGGCACTTGAAGGGCTTCCGCACACGGATCTGGGTCCGGTGGCCGTTCTTGGCGTGGTATTTAATACCGTTTACGTTCTGAATGAGGGGGAGAGACAGATTAGCAGGAGAACAAATACATCAACAGATATGAATTTCCCCTGGGGTGGTCTAGCGATCTAAGCCGCTGCCTACAGAATACATGTACCTGTGCGAGCGTGGGTTTTGATTCCGACGACTGCTGTTCTAGCCTCCCTTATCCTCCTACCTTTCCTGTCAATCTTTTACTGTCATATCTAATAAAGAATAAAATACGAAAGGAGTGGGACTGCCCCACTCCTAAAAAAAGAACAATAATAATCTATCTTACATGATCTTGGTGAGGATCCCTAAAAGCAACATCCAGAAACATCATTGCAAACATTGACATTGCAAGAGGAAACTCCTCCTCAGATCCTGTATTGAAGTGAAAACCTCCAGAACTCAGATCATAGGCTACACTGAACTGATATATAGAGTCTAGTGTGTAGCAGAAGAATAGAGCTAGGAACTGTTACATAAGCTAGGGCTGTGTGTGTACCGCACCTTGTATCTCTTCTTGCAGCCAGGCACAGGGCAGGCGAAGGGTTTCTCCTCTCCTCCGTTCATACACATGGAGCTGAGGATAGACTCTGAGCTGATGGCACTCTCTGTGGTCCAGGACTCATCACTGTCTGACTCCTCATAGTCCACCTCCTCATCATCATACTCACTGCCTGAAGGGGGAACACACACACACATCAGTTTGCGTGTCATGGGGACATGACTATATTGTCTCGAGTAGAGGGGCAATGAGCATAGAAAGGGGGGAATTTGTGATGAAACTAGAACAGAGGAGGGTTTAGTATTTGTGTGTGTCAGGGGCACCCAGGGGGTGGGGTTTGGCTCCCTGAAACAGATCATTAAATGGGAGGTATCCTCATTGCTCTGATTTAGTAAGTGCACAACTCACACACACCTACTCTCACAATCCCCATCCCCAATGTGCGTGTGCACACACACACACACTGTACCCCCCCACCATCACACAGGAAATGCTGGACCTCAGCAGGAGGAAATGGATGGCACCCTGGCACATGTTAAAAGGATTTCAACAAGGGTGTGTGTGTGTGTGTGTGTAAATGCAAATATTTGGGCAGGAATTGGACCATCTGCTTTAGGGCTCTGAAACACACACACACACACACACACACACACACACACACACACATGCGAACAGTGTGACAGCTGGTATGTAATTACCAGTGTTGACTGGGACCACTGCACACTGCAAGAACACTGGCTCTCTCTACTGAACACACTAGAACACGCCTGTAGTCTAGAACCCTCACAATAGGAATGTTCTATTTCGCTTGAGGGACTACGCTAGTCACTCAATGGGATATCCTTCTAGAACACTCACAATAGGAATGTTCTATTTCGCTTGAGGGCCTACCTGTGATTTGGCTGGAGGAATGGGAAGAAGGAATCAGTGGAGGCTGCTGAAAGGAGGACGGCTCATAATAATGGCTGGAACAGCGCAAATGGAATGGCATCAAACACATAGAAACCATATGTTTGATACCATTCCACTCAAGCATTACTACGAGCCCGTCCTCCCCAATTAAGGTGCCACCAACCCCCTGTGATATACATGCATAATGATAATGATAAAACCTTCTTTACTCTTCAGTTAACACAGACACACCCCCCCCCCCCCCCCCCCATTCCTCACACACTCACTCTGTCTCCCTCATCCTCATAAACACACACCCCTCTCTCTCTCTCCCACAAACACACTGCTCCCAACTTTCAAACAGAATTGAAGGAGCACCAGAAATAAATATTTGTTGATATAGTTTAGTCTTCCATTAGGCCTATATGAATCCTACCTTTGAAGCACATCTCATGAGTAGCAGACCCTTTTCCTTTTTCCTGGGCCAATCAGATGTGCCTAAACCTACTGTCAAGTTACCAGGTTGTTAGCTAGCTAGGTAACATGACTTAACAACGTTGCGCGAATGCCGCTAGAAAGAAAAAAAGTTATTTCCGGTAATATGGGTCTTTTTTTTTTTTTTACCGTTTAGGCTAGAGACAAGCCGTTTGCTTTGCTGTAAATCTGCAAGCATGCCTGTCGCGAAGCGGCGCTCCCATTTCCCTCTCTGACATTCTGAGGCTGCATGACAGTGTACTTGCAAATTCTACTCAGACTGGTCTGTGCTCTTGGTTATAACAGGCGATGAAATGATACAATGTATCAACATTGCTCGCTTTGCGCGATGCTCCAATGTAACAAATGTACAAATCTAACAACAGAAGACTCATGAGGGTCTGGGTCTGCATCCCGCTCACCATCACGGCTAAATTTTAGTTTTTTTTTTACTGAAGGAGGAATAGACGTGCGTGAAGAGTGGACGGAGAAAAGCAGGTGAGTAAGAATGGTAGGGGATGTGGCTGGCTGATTACAGCTGCCACACGTAATATGTGCATGAAAGTGAAGGGGATATTATTGGACCTGGCATACAAGAGACTAGTGGCTGTTGCTTAAATTCAACTGAATTTATAAACAAAACGGACTTTATAAACATGTTATAACCAGCAGGTCTAACAACATTGCCCCCTGGGGCTCATGATGCTGATGTACGCGCTCTGTGTCCTGTGTGAAAAACTCCCTAAACGCGTAGTGTGGAGCGGACTCACATGCTCACTAGACCGTGCGTCTGCGTATGCCATCGCGCGCATGTTGATTTTGTCCATCCACACCAGACACGATCAGGACACGCAGGTTGAAATATCAAAATGAACTCTGAACCAACTATACTAATTTGGGGACAGGTCGAAAAGCATTAAACATTCATGGCAATTTAGCTAGCTAGCTTGCTGTTGCTAGCTAATTTGTCCTGGGATATAAACATTGGGTTGTTATTTTACCTGAAATGCACAAGGTCCTCTACTCTGACAATTAATCCACAGATAAAAGGGAAAACCAAGTTAGTTTCTAGTAATCTCTCCTCCTTCGGTCTTCTTCTTCTTTGGACTTTATATGGCGGTTGGCAACCAACTTTAAAGGTGCATTACCACCACCAACTGGACTGGAGTGTGGACCTCAGTTCATCCTTCAATCACCCACGTGGGTATATGCTCCTAAAAACCAATGAGGAGATGGGAGAGGCGGGATTTGCAGCACGTGAAGCATCACAAATAGAATAAAGTTATATTTTATCACCTGGCTACGTAGACGCGCGAGCAGTTTGGATGCAATGATTGAATAACATGTATGTCTAGCATAGTCCCTCAGGCGAAATAGAACAAAGGTTACTCACGTAACCATGGTTCTATATGCTTGGGACTTTGCTAGTCCAGATGTCGGTTCCCTTGTAGCCTTGGGAAGAGTCTCGAGGAAGTGACGCTACGCGCCCAGGTATTTATAGGGGGTGGGGGCACACGCATCACACCCGTGGCACGGAATTACTCTGATATTAATATCTCGACTCATCCTGCCGCCAGGCGGAAGGATATCCATTGAGTGACTAGCATAGTCCCTAGTTCATTGAACCGTGGTTACGTGAGTAACCTTCGTTCCATTGACCCACAGACTAGAACACTAGAGGCAACAGCATTTAGCAGATGCTTTTATCCAAAGTGACTTACAGTAGTGCGCGCATACATTTTCGTATGGGTGAACCCAGGGGTAAGCAAAACCACAATCCTGGCGTTGCAATCACCACGTTCTACCCAGTGAGCCACACAGGACCACAAGAGGCAAAAGGCAACACATCTGAAGTGTCCACTTTCTCTTACCTGTGGGCGTGCTGCTACGGAAGGAGGAGGACGGTGTGATGGGAGGAGTCACAGGAGGAGTCAGGTTGCCGTTGCTGTGCCGTGGAGGCGTGGCCACGCTGTTCCGAGACACGCCACCTGTGATTGACAGGGAAAGTTTGGGCGTGGCCTTCTTCTTCAGGGTCTCCTGCTCCCGACGTGCCGCGTCAGTCATAAACCTGGACACAAACATGCTCCACACGTTACACACACACTCCTAAAAATTAAGATTATTTAAACAATCATAATAAGTATTATTTCTCTCCCTCTCTTCTGCTCTTCTCACTCCTTTTCTCCCACCACTCCTCCACCCACACTAGGGGTATGACGTTTAAACTAATTTGGGATTGTTAACGTTTAGAAAAAATCCCTAACCACTTAAAATCTGTGCAGTTATCACAAAACTACCATTAACAAGTCCCAATCATCATCATCATAAAGGCACAAATAAAAATTCAACAAACACCTAACGCAACAATGCTGTAAGTAGGAGGAAATGGCTATGAATCTTTCAAATGATTTGCCACGGATATAAGGAGCTCCACACGTCATTGTCGTTAACAGTTGGGAAAATGGCAGAGAGTGAGACAGTGAAGCAACAGCTGCGAAGTCCTGTATGGCAATACTTTGAGAAGTTAAATGGGAAGGTGATGAAATGCAAACTTTGCGAGGTGGAATTGAGAAACAGTGGCAGGCAGTACAGATGCAATGCTGAAAGGTGAGACCCAACCTGTTGCTGGCAGCAGTGCGATAACGGACGGAGTGAGAATCACAGCGCTGATTACAGAAATGATTGCAGTTAATATGCAGCCATTGTCAATGGTAGAGGATATCGGCTTCAATGCCCTAATGGCATATCTAGAACCAGACTACAAGATGCCATGTGGAGAAACCGTGACAGCCCTGAAGGGACCAATTGCTGCAGGGACTTGCTTCCATTCAGCCACAAGAGCATTAGTGAGGTCGGGCATTGAGTTTGGGCGATTAGGCCTGGCTCGCAGTTGGCCTTCCAATTCATCCCAAAGGTGTTCGATGGGGTTGATGTCAGGGATCTGTGCAGGCCAGTCAAGTTCTTCCACACCGATCTCAATAAACCATTTCTGTATGGACCTCGCTTTGTGCACAGGGGTATTGTCATGCTGAAACAGGAATCAAATCAAATCAAAGTGTATTTGTCACATGCGCCGAATACAACAGGTGTAGACCTTACCGTGAAATGCTTACTTACAAGCCCATAATCAACAATGCTGCATTCAAAAAAAAAGTAAGTAAGAAAATATTTGCAAAAAAATTTAATAAAACTATTAATAAACTAAAGTAAGAAAAAAAGTAACACAATCAAATTAAAATAACGAGGCTATATACAGGGGGTACCGGTACAGAGTCAACGTGTGGGGGTACAGGTTAGTCAAGGTAATATGTACACGTAGGTAGGGGTAACGTGACTATGCATAAATAATAAACAGCGAGTAGCAGCAGCTTAAAAAAGGGGGTCAATACAAATAGTCCGGGTAGCCATTTTATTAACTGTTTAGCAGTCTAATGGCTTGGAGGTAGAAGCTTTTAAGGAGTCTTTTGGACCTAGACTTGGCGCTCCGGTACCGCTTGCCGTGTGGTAGCAAAGGAAACAGTCTATGACTAGGGTGGCTGGAGTCTCTGACAATTTGTAGGGCCTCCCTCTGACACCACCTGGTATAGAGGTCCTGGATGGCAGGAAGCTTGGCCCCAGTGATATACTGGGCCGTACGCACAAGCCTCTGCATTGCCTTGTGGTCTGATGCAGAGCAGTTGCCATACCAAGTGGTATGCTCTCGATGGTGCAGCTGTAGAACGTTTTGAGGATCTGAGGACCCATGCCAAATCTTTTCAGTCTCTTGAGGGGGAATAGGCATTGTCGTGCCCTCTTCACGACTGTCTTGGTGTGTTTGGACCATGATAGTTTGTTAGTGATGTGGACGCCAAGGAACTTCAAGCTCTCGACCCGCTCCACTACAGCCCTGTCGATGTGAATGTCCCCCTTTTCCTGTAGTCCACGATCAGCTCTTTTGTCTTGCTCACGTTGAGGGAGAGTTTGTTGTCCTAGCAACATACTGCCAGGTCTTTGACCTCCTCCCTGTAGGCTGTCTCATCGTTGTCGGTGATCAGACCTACCACCGTTGTGTCGTCGGCAAACGGTGATGGTGTTGGAATAATGCCTGGCCACGCAGTCATTGTAAACAGAGACTACAGGTGGGGACTAAGCACGCACCCCTGAGGGGCCACTGTGTTGAGGATCAGTGTGGCAGATGTGTTGTTGCCTACCCTTACCACCTGGGGGGCAGCCCATCAGGAAGTCCAGGATCCAGTTGCAGAGGGAGGTGTTCAGTCCCAGGGTCCTTATCTTAGTGATGAGCTTTGAGGGCACTATGGTGTTGAACGCTGAGCTGTAGTCAACAGCATTCTCACGTAAGTGTTCCTGGTTTTGTCCAGGTGGGAAGGGCAGTGTGGAGTGCAATGGAGATTGCATCTCCTGTGGATCTGTTGGGTCGGTATGCAAATTGTAGTGGTGTTGTGAGCCATAACCAGCCTTTCAAAAGCACTTCATGGCTACAGATGTGAGTGTTACGGGGCGGTAGTCATTTGGGCAGGTTACCTTGGCGTTCTTAGGCACAGGGACTATGGTGGTCTGCTTGAAACATGAAGGTATTACAGACTCTGTCAGGGAGAGGTTGAAAATGTCAGTGAAGACACATGCCAGTTGGTCAGCGCATGCTCCGAGTATGCGTCCTGGTAATCCGTCTGGTCCTGCGGCCTTGTGAATGTTGACCTGTTTAAAGGTCTTACTCACATCGGCTACGGAGAGCGTGATCACATAGTAATCCGGAACAGCTGGTGCTCTCATGCATGGTTCAGTGTTTCTTGCCTCAAAGTGAGCATAGAAGGCATTTACAGTACCAGTCAAAAGTTTGGACACACCTACTCATTGAAGGGTTTTTCTTTATTTTTACATTGTAGAATAATAGTAAAGACATCAAAACTATGAAATAACACATATGGAATCATGTAGTAACCAAAAAGTGTTAAACAAATCAAAATATATTATATATTTGAGATTCTTCAAATAGCCACCCTTTTCCATTATCTCAGCTTTGCACACTCTTGTCCCGTGTAGCTCAGTTGGTTTGCAACGCCAGGGTTGTGGGTTCGATTCCCACGGGGGACCAGTATAAAATAAAATAAATGTATGCCCTCACTAACTGTAAGTCGCTCTGGATAAGAGCGTCTGCTAAATGACTAAAATATATATGTCTTGGCATTCTCTCAACCAACTTCACCTGGAATGCTTTTCCAACAGTCTTGAAGGAGTTCCCACATATGCTGAGCACTCTGCCGTCCAACTCATCCCAAACCATCTCAAATTGGGTTGAGGTCGGGGGATTGTGGATGCCAGGTCATCTGATGCAGCACTCCATCACTCTCCTTCTTGGTCAAATAGCCCTTACACAGCCTGGAGGTGTGTTGGGTCATTGTCCTGTTGAAAAACAAACGATAGTCCCACTAAGCCCAAACTAGATGGGATGGTGTATCGCTGCAGAATGCTGTGGTAGCCATGCTGGTTAAGTGTGCCTTGAATTCTAAATAAATCACATACAGAGATCATCCATTTCCACCGGTCTAATGTCCATTGCTCGTGTTTCTTGGCCCAATTTCTCTTCTTCTTATTGGTGTCCTTTAGTAGAGGTTTCTTTTCAGCAATTCGACCATGAAGGCCTGATTCACACAGTCCCCTCTGAACAGTTGATGTTGAGATGTGTCTGTGACTTGAACTCTGTGAAGCTTTTATTTGGGCTGCAATTTCTGAGGCTGGTAACTCTAATGAACTTATCCTCTGCAGCAGAGGTAACTCTGGATCTTCCATTCCTGTGGCGGTCCTCATGAGAGCCAGTTTCATCATAGCGCTTGATGTTTTTTGTGACTGCACTTGAAGAAACTTTCAAAGTTCTTGAAATTGTCCATATTGACAGACCTTCATGTCTTAAAGTAATGATGGACTGTCATTTCTCTTTGCTTATTTGAGCTGTTCTTGCCATAATATGGACTTGATCTTTTACCAAATAGGGCTATCTTCTGTATACCCCCCCCCTACCTTGTCACAACAACTGATTGGCTCAAATGCATTAAGAAGGAAAGAAATTCCACAAATTAACTTTTAAGAAGGCACACCTGTTCATTGAAATGCATTCCAGGTGACTACCTCATGAAGCTGGTTGAGAGAATGCCAAGAGTGTGCAAAGCTGTCATCAAGGCAAAGGGTGGCTATTTGAAGAATCTCAAATATAAAATATATTTTGATTTGTTTAACACTTTTTTGGTTACTATATGATTCCATGTGTTATTTCATAGTTTTGATGGCTTCACTATTATTCTACAATGTAAAAAAATAGTAAAAATAAAGAAAAACCCTTGAATGAGTAGGTGTGTCCAAACATTTGACTGGTAGTGTAGCTCGTCTGGTAGGTTCGTGTCACTGGGCAGCTCGCGGCTGGGTTTCCCTTTGTAAACCGTAATCGTTTGCAAGCCCTGCCACATCCAACAAGCATCAGAGCCAGTGTAGTAGGATTCAATCATAGTCCTGTGTTGACGCTTTGCCTGTTTGATGGTTTGTTGTGATTTTATTTCATTTAATTAGGATCCCCATTAGCTGACGCCAATGGCGACAGCTAGTTTTACTGGGGTCCGACATATAACGAAGAAGACATTACAGACAAAATACTATACAAATTTACATACATTTAAAAACATTAACATGTAGTGTGTGTGTGCGCGTCTATCGTTGGAGGGCATAGCAGGATTTCTTATAAGCGTCCGGAAAGGGCCTTCCCCAATCTGTTGCCACAAATTTGGAAGCACAGAATCGTCTAGAATGTCAATGTATGCTGTAGCGTTAAGATTTCCCTTCACTGGAACTAAGGGGCCTAGCCCGAACCATGGAAAAACAGCCCCAGACCATTATTCCTCCTCCACCAAACTTCACAGTTGGCATTATGCATTTGGGCAGGTAGCATTCTCCTGGCATCCACCAAACCCAGATTCGTCCGTCGGACTGCCAGATGGTGAAGCGTGATTCATCACTCCAAAGAATGCGTTTCCACTGCTCCAGAGTCCAATGGCGGCGAGCTTAACACCACTCCAGCCGACA